ATTGCTGTTAGCGATTGTAAAAAAATGTGTGATTGGGTGGTTTGAATGGGAGAAAAGCTTTCAGAAAAAAAGTGCGATATAAAATCTATTATTATTAAATTATAACCAATTAATTTTTGGAGAATTTTATAAAGTTAAAAATACAAAAACATTTTGTCAAAATAGAAAAAAAAATTACCACCAAAACATCGAACAAACTTGAGCCACAAATGGATTCAGCCCACGGACAGAATTAAAAAACAGAAGCTAACATCCTAACCTCTTTTTCCACCTCCACCAGAATCTTTCCTAAATTGCACAGTCCCATAGCGGTCAAAGACTTCTACATTTGTTTAGCAACCGTGGGAGAATTTTATATGGCATTCTAGTTTAACAGAGCTGTAATGGAGCAAATTTTGATGAAAGCTAAGTATCACTAAGTTGATGATATATCAACTGTTTGGCGATATATTTCCGTTTAAAAAAGTGGGTATAATGGATGATATAATTTAAATTAAGAATATTAGTAAATAATTTAAATTAGTGAAATTAAAAAAAATATTAAAGAAAAAATTTCCAGCTTTTCGTTAAAATTCCCTGATTTTTCCAGGTTTCTATCCAAATTTCCCTGATATTTCCAGGTTTTTTCCAGTATAAATAAATTCCCTGATAATTCCAGGTTTTCAAGGTTTTCCAGGTGGGTGGCCACCCTGATTAATGAAGGAATACTCTTTTATGTTAAAGAGAAATTTTGACCCAGTCAAATCAAAAATCCAATGTCTTGGGAGGGAGGAATTAAAAAGTTTTATAAACACTTTAATTGTTTAGCAATGGAAAAAAAAACTTTTGCTGAGCAGTGCATTTTCATACAATATTCTCTTTTAAGATTTTAGAGATCTTTTTACAACTTTAGAAATGAAATAATTTTACAAAAAAGTTAAGACAAAATACTTACAGAAGACCTGGATGTAGATGGACGGCTAGTGGATGATGTTCTTCGATTGGTCTGAACTCTCTTACGAACAGTTTCACTTGCTCTAGTTCTTGGTATCACTCTTCGTGACCTAGGCGTGCTGCAGCCAGCTGGAAGTATGAGTGGGAATTATTTGCGGCTTCATTAAAAAGGAATTAAAATTTTGATCAAAAATCATGCAACATATTTATCTTTGAAACATCAATATAAAAGTACACATGCATATAAATGCAGGGGTGCCACTCTAAAAAAATTTCAAGACTGAACTTATTTTTTGACCAAATAATACTGTCTATCATTGTTAACCTAACTTTTAGAAATGTATAGCTCACTGACACCAAAATTTACCTTTCCTTCATAATAGCCTACACATTAAATCAATCATTTGATTATTTTTTCTAAATTTTTTTAAATGTTTTTTTAGCAAGCAAAAGGAAAATAAAAGCTAACCTTGTATATTTTTTTACAACTATTACTGAACAAACTGAAACCATTCCTATCTCTATTTTTTACTTCACCGTTATTTATTTTTTATTCTAGCACTATAATTTATTTCTTATTTTTAAAAAAAGTAATCTTGATTTAACTTTGGCCAGCATGACAATAGGTTGGGGTAGGGGAAGCAAACTCGAGCAGATTTAGATTCAGCAATAGTACAAATTTAATTACACAATTACCCATTTGTCAAGACTTTAAGAGTAAGATTTAGTGAAGCTGACGAAAAGAAGATTAATAAAAGTCCTGACATCATTACCATATCATATGTTTTCATTAAGATATAATATTTTCTTATTTTGTCCAAAAATGTTTTTACATTTCTAACGAAATTTTTTTTAAAATTTGATAGAATTTATTAGTCTATTGATTTTTCTCCAAACTGATTTCAGTCCTCAGGACTGAAGAGTGGCATCCATGTAAATGGTCTACAAATTAAAAACAATTTCTATAAATGGATAAGAATAAATCAAGTATTCAATATGAGAGCATTTTTTTCATGAAATATTCAACAATTACACTAAAAATCTATGAAGAATCCCACTGCAAAATAATAAAAATAAAACTAAATTCTATCTATCATTGGGTAAAAGAAAATAGTTTTTTTAACATATAGAAAACACTATAAAATAAATAATATGCTTTTGTCCAAGTGGAGTAAAATCACTAGCTACAAACTTTTGAATTTATCATTGTATTTGTTTTGTAAACAGCATTTAAGAGAACAAAAGTTTTTTTTTACTTTTTTCAAATTCAATTTACGCCTCATATTTTTTTTAAGAAAATAAAGATTACGATTGCACTCTAATTTCACAATTAAATTTATCCCGATTTGAAAGTAAAATGAATTATTTTATTAGACCAGTTAACATTTAAGTCGAATTTCTATTTAATAAACTTCCATTTTGGGAATTTCTCTATTTTGGAAATTTCTTCGTAAAATAACTTCCAAATAGCGAAGTGAATTTTATATTTAACGAACTTTTCTATGCCTTTCCCTATTTCTCAAAATATTTCAGAACATTCCAAACTTACTGAGGCATTTAATGGGGGAAATGACCTTGAATTGATTTTCGAAGACACTTAATTTTTAGAGAAAGCAGTAAAATCCTTTTCCCTTTGTGTTTGCATTTCAAACAGAAAACTTGGACAAAACCTATTTGATCAGTAGCAATTAAACTTAAGGTGGTAATGTATGTTTAAAATTACTTTCATAATAAATGCAGCTATAATTTCAATTTAGCTTTCTTTAGTTGAAAATGTATGAAGCATGATAGCGTAACACTGGATAATGTTTTGCTCTATTCTTGCTTTCCATGCAGATTTCTTTTATGGAATAAGATTTATCAAATAAATAGTAGATACTAGTTTACAAGATAAAAGGGTATCGATTGCTATTTTAATTATGTGTAGTGTTTATGAATTTAAAACCTGTTTTGCTTAAGTATTTCAAAAGGTGATTTTCTTTTCACCAAATTTTCCATATAATGAAATTATTATTGGATTTAATGACTTCGTTAAATAGAGGTCCAACTGTATTATTTTCACCCATCTTTTATCAGAATAATAAAAAAAATGATAATGATGTTGCCTTCGTAAAAAGCTTATAATAATAAAATGAAGAGTATGTGTGTCTATGAGTCTCTCACATAACTCCAGAACCATTATTCCTATGACCCTAAAATTTGGGACAGATTCTAAAAACCGTTAAAAAAATATCAATTAGATTGTTCAGAAGAGACACTTGAAAAATCAAATTTTTCATTGGTTTATAACCAGCCATTTTATTTTATAATCGTCATTGAACACCTGACCCAAATTGGGGTTTACAACTACCTAGATTCAACTCCGTAGCCTTGTCATTTTTAACCCAATCCATAAGACAAGGGAACTCCTGGATCAAATATTGGGAGAAATTTTGCCTTTGTCTAGGACTTCCTGATGTAACTAACCTGCACTTGTGTTACATTTGCGGCTCGCATTTGAGGCTCAAAACCAGCTATTGATAAAAAATTTTACTGCAGAAGATCCTGCTTTATTTATTAGTTTTTTCCCCATATATTTTAAAGATAGCTTCAGTGATGTTTTCAAACTAATAGCTCTCATTATAAAAGGCAGTTTATTATTGCACATTATGTCAGATAAATTCAATGTAGCATGAATGAGTTAACATAGGTGGATTATGTCAGCAAAATAGTACCTCTAAAGCTATCAGAAATAACATGATTATTTTGTTTAAAGTTACGCTTTAAATACATGTTTCTAAGAATCTAAGTAGTTTAAAATCAACAGAATTTGAAATATAAAAAAAGTTATGAACTAAAAACTAAAATTATTTGGAAAATAGCATTAATTTGTTTAGGAGAATCATAGAAAAATAAGCTAAAAAGAAAATTTTATGGAGAAATGGTGCAAAGTTATTTAGAAAAACGAAAACTATTGACACCTATGTTGCTTAGTTAATTTTGGTAACAGTTAACTAAGAACAGTTTAGTAGCAGTTAACTAATTAAAGTAAAAAAATAAGAAATGAACTAAAAAAGAAAAATTCATTGAGAAATGGTACTCATTAGTTTAAGAGAAGAAAAAAAAACCTAACTCTTATTGATACCAGTGAAGCTTAATTAATTTATGATAAGGGATATTAATTTAAACAAAAAGTAAGCAATGTGCTAAAGAGCAAAATTAATGGAGAAATGGTTCTCATTCGCTTAAGAGAAGAGCAAAAAAAAATCACCGCACCATTTTTGATGCCAACTATGGTTAATTAATTTCTTAAATAATTACTAATTGAAATAAAAAATAAATAAATTATGTACTATAGGGTGAAATTAATTTAGAAACATTAATAATTTGTTAAAGAGAAACATAAAAAATTGTTGTGCTATTGATGCCAATGATGCTTTATTAATTTTAGTACTAGACACTACTAATATTATGGTAATTGATGCAATTTTAATATAGATACATGGAAAGAAGTTTTTAGGGACCCTTTAAGTACCAGAGAAAATTATCTGATTGTGATAGATTTTGACTACCAGGAGTTGGCCTCAAGCAACAGCTTTATGCCAAATGCATTAAAAATAGTTAATCTTTATTTTAATGGGATAAAATACTAAGAACGTGTTTTGCTTAATGTAACAAAGCTACCCACAAGGGCAAACTATAATAATAAATGAAGAAAAAAAGATTTATTAATTGTGCTGTCTATTAGTTTTGTAGTATTGTTCAGTATTGATTTTTTTCACCCCTTTCAAAGAATATTCCTTCAGGTAATTTATTAATTTTTAGATAGTTATTATACATAAAAGCTTTACATACAAATTTTGTAAATACACGCATACCCACCAACTACTGAGGAGCTTTCAAAAAGCAAAAATAAGCACCTTTAAGCAATTTTTAAAAAACATTATGCATTATGACACTAATTCACTCAATTAAATATTAAAATGGTCATACCCATTGCACCGGTTCTCAAGACGCGTGCACAGGGTGGACAGAACCACTCATCAATGGGGATATGAAAGAGGGGAGGATCCAGGCATTCACAGTGGTAGGCAAGATCACATGCATCACATAGAAGAAGGCGGTCCTCACGATCGCCATGGTGACACACCTCACACACAGTAGCCTCTTGCTGTAAACTGTCCTCTGGTTCTTTGGGTTGAACCTCTACGGGCACCTTCAAAATGACCATTAATACTTTCAAGTTTGATGGGCATAATATAATTCTACATTAAAGAAATTTATTTCATTTATAAAAAAATATATTTTATGTTTAAAGGAACGTTTCCTGCAAAAGTTTTCGGCTCTAATTAGAATTTTCTCCCTCCAAACATTTAAACCTTCTGAGGCACTGTGAAGAACTGGGGTTCGATCCCCAGTGGCGGCTAGCGGCCCACCTGACCTCAGATCGATGGGTACCAGCTTGTTTGGGAAGTGAAAGCAACCCGATGGCGAATACATTGCTACGATCACGGCATCGGTCACAAAATTGTGGAGTTTTAACCTCCCGGAACCCCCTGGCCCACGACAGGCTGTTGCGGGAATGCCTTACTTATTTAATCTTTCACACTCAAAGCATCCTCTATGGCATCATAAATTATCTACCACTCTTAATGTTAAAATTTTTACATTTTAATATTTAATAATCACTTCATTGAAAGGGGTGCAACACAATAGAAGCCTGTAAAAAAGGATACTTTAATGAATTTTGCAAGAATTGAGATAAACTTAACACATTTTTATTAAAATCTTATTGTACATATTTTGATCTTCATTTCCTCATGTAATACAAAAACTTTAAAAATTAGTACTTGTACATTACAGAGTGTATAACCTTTTTTTCAAATTATCCATAACTTGCTGTACTATCCTAGTAAATAAATCATACAAAATTGATTGTTTAAATTTTTTTAAATTTCACAAATGTAGTTTTTGTTGCATGTAGGATTTTTAAATTTTTTTTTTTTTTTTTTTTTTTACAAAAAGGTGTTCTGAAAAAAATTTCAAAAATTGACCAAAAAATAAGTTATAACTTAATTGCTCAAAACCACTCAACATAATTAAAAAATTCCTAGGTGCAACAAAATTTATATTTATTGTGATAATAGTGTCAAAAATTGAAGTAAATGGGATTAAAATTGTACTAGCTACAGTTACAGCAAGAAAGAGGACCATAGTTCTGAGTAAACTGTATTTTCAGCCTACATTTATTTTCAATTGTTCCAAAACTGTCAATAACCCTTTGTAACCCTCATTAATACAGCTAAATAAGTTGCAATTTCAACTATTTATTATAAAAGTAATTCTTTTTCTTACATAATTTATACAAATCATTTCAATAAAAAAGTTAAAATGAATAGTATTTTACAAAACTGTTTTCAAAAGAGTGAGGAGCATATCTATTTATCAACTGAGCCTGCAAGTTCACTTTTGAAACCAGGGGTCTGTCCAGGAAATATTTACTACCGCTTAGCGGTACCTTCACAAATTCAACTTTAGGAAAAACGGTAATTTCACAAAATACTTCTAATAAATCAAGTTCTCGTGCAAACCCCGTTCTCGTTGCAATCTCGGTAAAAGGCGAGATTTTTTGCCAGATTTCTTTTACGAAAAGGTAGCTCATGTTTGATCAGATACTGCAATATGGTAAACCTAACTGGTCGATTAAGCCATATCACAGTGAGCTTTTTTAAAGCTGACTTTTTTAACATATAATTAAACTATTGCTGCCTTCAAATAGTGTTCATGTAGATAACATTAATAATCAACAGAAAATTGAGATCAGATGTTAACATTTAAAAAAAAAAGCTTTTTTTAAAATAAGGTTTGATTCAGAAATCTGTCCGTACAACTTAAACAGTCCACAGCACTGCAAAGGATCAAGAAAGAGAACTAAAGAAATAAAAAAAAAATCTACTATAAAAATTAACAAAATGAAAGGAAAGATAAGAAAGAATCGAGAATATAAAAATGCGTATTATTTATTCAATTATAGTGCATAAGCTACTATAAGAATTACTGAGCAATTCTAATAGTAACTTATGCAGCCTCATATCTTACGATGTTTGCAAGTCATAATTTTGTGATAAGAGATGACCTTTTTAAGAAAATTGTTTTAGGATAAAATATTTCTTGATAGCTTTTAAAATGATTGATGAGTTTGGCAAAACAAATAAATAATAAATAAAATATAAATGATATCTTACTTTTTTTATAATTTTCCCCTTCTTGCGTACAAGGATATTCTGAAACTCAGTTCGATCAATGGGGCATGTATTAATATTCTATAAAACATTAAACAAAATAATATTAACAATTAATGCACATTTAAAAAAAAACAGGCATTAGTGTTGCAACATAAAACGCTTCCTGCTTCTCTTTAACTTGAAAATAATACTGACCTTTGACCATTCTTGAATGCACTCCAGGCAGAAAGTGTGGCTGCAGTTATCTGGAGTTCCAAGACTTTGTTCCGAGAATCTTGTGAGGCAGATGGGGCAGGACTCTACGTTTTGATCTGAATCATCACTCTCTCCAGAGACCACTGGTTGAGACTCTTGAAAAGAAAAGGATAAGTTGACTGTTAGAAATACTGCACTTAAAAAAGGTATTTTGGGATTACCTCCTCGACCATTTTCGTACTTTGGGATTATTCCGTGGACCATTTTCGTACTCTGGGATTACCCTGTTGACCATTTCCGAACTTTGGGATTATCCCGGCGACCTTTTTCATACTTTTAGGATTATGCAAATAAAAAATGTGAACATACAAATCATGCTGTGTAACTTTCAGATTGCATAAATACGAATCCCAATGCCTAATTTTTAAATCACATATAAATGCGAAAATCGATGTTTGATATTACAAACGCATTAACGAATCACGGCATAGGATTTTAAAAACACATTTATACAAATTGTGATATTGGAATTTTTAATCTTTGTTGGCGCCTCTCTCGGCTTTGGCTTCGGTTACCTTTTAATTTGGCGAAAAGAAGAGCTCTTGTTGTGTTTTGTTCTGATATTTCAGACGTCTTCAAATGGCGTCATTCATCGTTTCATAAATAAATTGTTAAATAGTTATCGTTTGTTCGTAATCATTAGTAATACAGTCCATTCGACCCTCTCAACATGTTCCTGTCTATCCGTAGTTCAAACCTGATATAATTCGAAAATATTAAATTTGATCAACTTTCATTTTCGTTTCATCATAACTTCGTTTTGGAACTCATATTTTCGATTTATAAAAATGACTGATACTTCGAACGCTGAGGAACAATATGAAAAGAGCTTAAAACAATTGAATCGTCGTCGTGATAGCTCTAAAAGCAAAATAACTAGGTTGGAAAGCTATATTTCTACAAATGGAAATAAGGCTGATTGTCTCGAACTGCAATCTCGTATTGATAGCATAGGATTAATTCTTCAAGAAAACGAAGTTTTAAAACTGGATTATTATTCAATTTTGAAGGATGAAGAATTAGAAGCTTATCAATCCCATTTTGATGAAATGGAAGAACAGATAGAATCTTGTAAGGAAAGCTTACAAAGACTTTTTATTCAAGAAGTTCTAATATTTCTCATTTGCATAACAATGAACAATTAAGTACTGGTAAAATAAATGTTAAAGTGCAAGATATTTGCTTGCCTTGCTTTGATGGAAAAAACGAAAATTGGAATAACTTTAAACTTCAATTTGATAGTTTGATAACTGAAAATCATCCTTTAAATAGCACGCACAAATTGTTTTATTTACGTTCAGCTTTAAAAGGTGACGCTAAAAATATTGAAACGCCAGAAGATACTTTTGTATCCTTGATGAAAATCCTAAAAGAAAGATTTCATTTCATTTCTAATTGTCGGAAAGAGGAAAGGATGTTTGGTCCCATCACTAGAGAGGAACTTCAGCATGCAAAGCTTTCTCTAGTAAAGTTAGTGCAGGTAATTGTATTTAGGAAGGTGATAAATGCATTAAAAAATTAAAAAATATTGAAGGACAGCCACGTAAGTAATTTAAATCCCTTTCTTGATTCTAATGGTTTAGTTAGAGTAGGGGGCAGAATCAGCAATTCGAATTTATCTTATGATCAAAAGCACCCATTGCTAATTCAGGGTTCCCACTCTATGATGAGATTNATTCCAAGAGATCATAAAATAACTACTTTAATTTTCCAGTATTTTCATTTAAAAAATTTGCATGTTGGTGCGCAAACTTTGCTTCATTGTGTTAGGCAAGAGTTTTGGCCCCTAAATGGTATGAACACTGCTCGAAAAATCTTTCACGATTGCATAACATGTTTCAAAGCCAAACCTAAGATAGAACAGCAAATTATAGCTTCTTTACCGAAAAAAAGAGTTACCACAAACCCCCTTTTTTAAAAAACTGACACCGACTTATGCGGTCTTTTTCTTATTAAATATAAAAATCAGCAGAAGGGAATCTTAAACAAAATCTATGTTGTAATTTTTGTATGTTTAATTACTCGTGCCATTCATTTGGAAATAGAAGGTGCTTTTTACAGCAGAAGCATTAATTGCCACCCTTAAAAGGTTTTTCGTGAGAAGAGGTCTGCCTTTTATTATATTTTCTGATAATGCCACAAATTATACTGGTGCTCATTCTGAATTGAGAAAATTGTATGATCTTGTTAAAAATTCAGAAAATCTTGCGCAGCATATTAAATATATGCGTTTTACCTATCAATGAGCCTACTAGCAATTAGCTTACATGTTTATTTTTTTCGTTGTTGTCATAAAGAAGGTGATAGTGCTAATTTAGTTTGCTTGTGAAAAATACTATGTTATTTGGTTATTTAGTCATAAATTTTAGAACTTTTTTTATCATTTGCATTATAAATTGTCATTTATTGTAGTATATATACTTGTTTGAAATGGATATTTCAAAGCCGGGCGGTATGTTGGCGCCTCTCTCTGCTTTGGCTTCGTTTACCTTTTAATTTGGCGAAAAGAAGAGCTCTTGTTGTTTTTTGTTCTGATATAGTCAGACGTCTTCAAATGGCGTCATTCATCGTTTCATTAATAAATTGTTAAATAGTTATTGCTTGTTCTTAATCATTAGTAATACAGTTCATTCGACCTCCTCAACAATCTTGTAAATAAGAATCACAATGTACGTTATTTAAATTGTGTGATTAAGAATCGCAACATGCAACTTTTAAATTTGGTAAACACGAGAATCGATGTTTGATATTAAAATTGCATGAATAAGAATCAAGATATTAACAGATTCTGGGCTTTGGATTTCTAAAAAGCTTGTTTGTATTGTTTTTGTTTAGCCATATTAAATAAAAATTTACAAGATTAATTGAGTGGTCAAACAAATATACTCATCCAAAATACACCGCTATTTTATTTTATATTTATATACACCACATTTTTTCAACATAGAAGCAGCGACATCTGAATCACAAAGATATGAGCAGTCTGGCAGGAGGGTAAAAATGGCAAAAATCTTATTTTTTGCACATAAAAGTGGAGAAAATGGTTAAAATAAGTAAAAATGCGGAAGGGTTGGCAGCTACGTGGTTTGCATTTTCTGCTTAGATTTGAAAAACGAGAATAAATATAATTATTTTATTTCAATGGCTGAATTTAGAGAAAAAGCAGAATATTTATATAAAAAAAAGGTATTAGAGAATCAGAGTTTTTGATAAAAAGGCTGAAATATTCAAGACAAAAGTAAAAAATGTGGAAATCCACTAACTTAAAAAAAATCTTAACACATTACAAAAATTTGCAGCTAAAGTTTTAATTACTTTATGAAATTTTTTAATTTTAGAATAATTGTATAAATATAGGAAATAAAAAGATCAAGGATAAAATATCTACCAAAGTAAAAAGTTAACTGAAATTTTGAGAAAAAAAAATTTCAATTATTTTTTTTTGTGCTGAAGTGCAATGCCGGATTTTGTTTTCGTGATATCCAGATTTTTTTTCCTTTCATATTATACCAGAAATCAGATTTCAATTAAACAGAAAACGGAAATCGGGCAAAAATCATAAAGAAGCAGAAATCAGCGAAAGAGCAGCGCAAGTGCAAAAAGAAATAATAAATAATAATAATAAAATAAAATTATTTTTCTTTTTTTGAAAAGGGAAAAGTTTTTATTTTGCTCATTAAAAAATGTCTGGGAAAAGTTACCCCTCTGGTAAACGGAACTCCAGACAATATTTTGTCAAATTTAAAAAAATTAAATTTATAATTAAATATTTTATTAAATATTTTACTTTCCGATTCATAGAAAAAAAATTTCATATTTTATAAAAACCACATTAAAGCTATCACTATATTTTTATTTTTCATTTCTGGTCATTATACTTAAATGTATGGTCTTAATGCAAAAATTATCAACATTAAAGTAATTATAAGTTTTAAATTAATTATGAATTTTAATGAATTTTATTATGAATTTTAATTAGGAATAATATTAATATTTTTTATGTATAATATTAATATTTTTTATTGTTATTAATATTATTAATATTTTTTATGAATTTTAATTATGAATTTAAATTAATTATGAATTTTAAATGTTCTCTTCTGCTTAATGGCTTAAGCAGAAGAGAACATTTTAAGACAATCATCCATAAAACTTTTTCTATTCTACATGTTAGTTCAGAATAAATTTTTAAAATAAGAATCTCTGTGACTGTATTACAAAGTTACGGTTACAGACAAATTTAAATTTATTTGAGATTGTGTGACAGACTGAATAATTAACTTCTGCTATGATTAAGTGTGCGAAAGGTGAAGTAGAGAATCAAACAAAGTCATTCAAGATACCATTTTCAGTTTCTTCATTGTTGTCATCACCTTCCTCACTTCCATCAGAATCCTCAGTGTCTGATCCCTCCTCGCTCTCTTCTCCACTCTCACTGCCTTCGGAATCACTCTCGTCTTCAGATCCACTCAACTCAGAATCAAATAGATCATTCGATGTTCCATACGCTCTACTCATGTTCTTTGAAAAAGTTTCTTCATATAAGAAATCTAGATGAAGTTAAAAACACTATTAATTTATACATAGTAATAATTTTCTATGTGTTAATGCGAAATGAAACACCACAAAAGAAACATTCGTATAATGCACAAATTAACTCCACTACAAATGTATTTAGTACACTTTAAATTTTTTGTAAAATTTTTTTCGGTTACACATTTGTTTGAAACATTGATTGTGTAAATAATTCTTATCTTTTTCTTTTTTTTAAATTTAAAATTAATATGTCCCGCAGTGGACTGATCGTTAAGCAGATCACTGAAGTCAAGCATCACTGGTTGCGGTCAGTGTGCGTCTGGGTGACCCACTTGGATCAGTCTGCGTAGGGACAGAGGGTGTGCGGTATTGGTCCTCGTTAAACTTTGCTACCGTAAAGTGCTCAACTTGGCGTGCAGGTCGTTGGGCTACCGAAGCGGGGGTGCCATCCCCTCTGCAGAGGATCAAAATTGTGATGGCATGTCTTCAGATTATCCTCAGGGATGTTTCCCAGACCGTCGCCAATAGCCCATTGTGTAGCTTTAGTGCGACGTAAATGAACTACAACAATAAAATTAATATAAAGAAAACTACGTCCTGTAAGCAAGAAAAAAGATGGCTTTTGATTTTTTTTTTATTGTACTTCATATAAATAGTATATCATTATTCAGAAAATTTTGAGTATTCGATTCAAACCACAAAGAGAAAAGATTTTTAGATTAAAAACTGTGAAAAATTGTCCCAAAAATGCTAAGCAGTAACACTTGATAAACTTTTTAAAAAGGAAAAAGAAACAATACAGAAGGTGAAAAAGTTGAATTATAAAATAAGTAGTCGTTTAGAGGTCATTATATATGTACAGGGTTGGGTTTTTGACGTCAAAAAGTGGTTTTTGACATGACAAGGNCGTTTAGAGGTCATTATATATGTATAGACATATATTTAATTTATATAGATATACTAGGGGGCAAAGCCCCCTGTTCGCTATCGCTCACCAACCCCAATGATTGCTTCGCAATAATTGTTTTTTCTTGGCAGGAAACAGTTTTTCTACTAAAGTTAAAAATATTCACTTAACATCTATGCACTAATAGGAATTCTGTTTACTTACGCTCTTGCGCCTCTACCAAATATTACTATCTATTAGTATTATAGACATTTAGATCTCTTGATGAACAGAAGTGATTTTTTTAATTATCATTTTTTTAAATAAAATTTATATTCTTAATACATTATATTGTTCAAACCAATTTGATGAGTTCTCAACCATAATTTAAAATTTTGGCTAATAATAGCAGTACTGAAAAATAACTTTAAATTAGGGATACAAAAATATTTAAAGGAAAACAATACCTTTACGACTTTTGTTAATTTTATGCTGACGACAACCTAATCAATATGGAAATGAATGGGGAAAACTGGATCCTACCACGTGATTTTCCGGCCAATAAAAATGCGCCGACAACAATGGAAAACGGTACCAGACCATTATGATTTTATGATATATAGAGACATTTAATTTANTTTTGGAAATCTCACTTAACTTTCTGAAATCTCACCCTGTTTTTGAGAAAGGGTGAGAAATTCTCACCCATTTTTTTTCTATGATGAAAACACTGTATATAGAGACATTTAATTTATAACCAGGTTGTCACAATTAAGGTCCAGGCTTGTGGTTTGTCGATACGAGTGAGATGTAAAGAACTCTTTCAAATTATAATGGGTAGTTATTAAGGATACATTATCTTCATCGGATTTACTAGATTGCAAACTTGGATGGATAGCGTCACACCAAACAGTACTGAACAATTTTATCTCAAAATGAAGATCGTATTTATGGTTGGAGAAGATTTCCATACTTGCAGCTGCATTAAATTGGACAGTGGCAGTCAAGAAATTAAAAGAAATATCACAGAATAGTGTAAACTGATTGTTACCTTTGATCAAAAGACTTTACTGAGTAAGATAAGAAAATAAACAATCTGGGCACACAATCCAAAGGTACATTAAAACCACTCTCCGTTCCACAGCAAAATGGTGGTTGGTCATTCTTAGAGGTTACCTCCATTGGCTTCAAAACTGTTCTCGAAGGTACATAATTTTTCGAAAATTACTTTTATTTTAGTCAGTGTCGTTTTCTTGGTGCTGAAATGCCACTTCTGTGTGGTCATGAAAAAACAGATCTATGACTAAAATTTTGCGTCCATAAAAATGATCCCAACAGACATAATTATGTGCAAAAACAGTTTTAGTTTACCAACAATAAACAATTATGCTTTCTGTTTTAAGTTTGCATTTAATTTTATAAAAATTAGTTAGCTTTAAAAGATTAAAAGAGTTTGTTTGAGATGCTTTTTTTTAAATAGCTTCTTTTATTTCTTCTAATTTAACTTTCAACTCTAAAAATAAATCATTGATAACATCGTCTTTAGAGCACTCAGACTGCAACATGAGATTGTATCGACAAAAAGAGCATTCTAAGTCAGAGCCTCACACAAATATTTTGAATACATTTTAATCTACTTATTTGTTTTGTTAAATATTTTCATTTGATATTTTTTCTTGTTTCCTTATTTGGCTTTTCCTGCATTTCAGGCAGATGTTTCCGGGTCACTGTTAGATGTTTTAATGGTCTCTCCGAAAAGTTTTATTCTGCACAAAGTCTATGGAAAAAATTATGTGCCTTCCAAAATTGGTCGTAAATAGAGATGGTCCTTTCTGGAGGTTTCACTGAATTTGAACATAGGTGTAAAATAATTTATCAAGCAAAGTTTGTATCTCTAAACTCATAATATTGTATCACTGTATCTGTAAACTCATAATATTTAATGATAACAAAATTATTTTATTCCAAAAATGGCCAAACATAAAAAATTCTTAAATTCCACTAAATGCATCAAAAGTCTGACAGTATGGAACACGACCACACTGAATGTTTAAGTAGCCGAACATTTAATTTTATAAAAAAAGATTTTTTTTATTTTTTATGACAAATGATGAGATTTTCAACTTTATAGATTTGTTAAATGAATCGAATACAGTAATTTGTTTTGTTTTTTTGTTTTTATGGATGTTTTTATTTTGGTGCGCAATTTTTTATGGGAACTTTTTTTCCTGAAAACACATTTTATCGTTTAAATAGGCATTTATAATATGGCGTTGTATTCTTTAAAATAATTTTTCTCTTTTGTTCGCACTTTTTCCAGCAATATGAAAAAAGATTTTCAGTGTTAAAAGTTATGTTTTAAGTGTTAAGAATGTTTCTTTTTATAACTGTTTTCTTCAGTGGTGCAGTATTTTTCCAGAGTATTTTTATTCTTTTGTTATCGTTTTATAGTCATTTTTCACTGAAAATTAGATAATGGGAAAAAAGTGATTTTCAGCTTTAAATTATTGTTTAAGAATTGACAGATTGTTTTCTTCCTTTTAAATAATTTTTTGTTCCAATCAACGTTTTTATAATCGTATTACATTTTTAAAGAACCTTTTTTGATATTTACTTTTATTGTAAATTTTTCAAAAGATTACGATATGAAAAAAAATGAGATTTTTATCTTCGCATTTTTGTTTGAAGAATTAGGAACAATCTATTTTTTTCTAATACAGAAGTTATATTTTATCACGATTAAAATTGATTGTGGGAAAAAACAAGCCTTATTGTTGAATCTATTATATATGATTTCCTTTATTTTAGTAATTTCTCCTATAATAAAAAATACTTTTTTTATAATATCTTATAATATTAATAATAAAAAAAAATTAAACTAAGAAAAATAAATACCTTTTTACAACAAGTTAAAAGTAAAATCATTATTTAGGTCAGTAATGAGAAGTAGAGCACTATAAGTAGCGAAACTACTGTAGCCGCCTCTACTTTTCTTGTAGTTTCTAGTATAGTATGCTACTTTTTTAAAAAAGTAGTTAAGTGAATAGAGTGATTAAAAAAAAACAGTATTTTGTAGCAATTCCTGACAACTACTTTTCATTTTAGTTTAGTAAAGAAAGTAGGGGGATATTTCTGTATGGTGATCTGCCATGCCAACTACAATTGTCAAGAAGTCCAACTGATTTTAAACAGTAAAAATTTGAAGAAAAAAAATGTGTAGAGGTTTGCTTGGGGGTGGCTACGAGTTATACCCTTCAAGTTGGTCCCTTTCTATGTTTGTTTTTTTTTAAGTTTCTTGTGGGTCGCTCTCCGGGAGGAATATATTTTTGATATACTTAATTTCTTAAAGGAAATAAAAAGACATTAAACACTCAACAAAATTGCAAGCATTTGATAATTTCCTAACATTTTTTTAATTAAATATTTGCTGCTGAGAAAGTGATAAAAAATTGAAAATTTGAATCAAATTAGAAAAAAATGTTTTAGAATGACAAACTGGCTCATTCTTTAGAGAAATATTTATTCATATTTCGCTTAGAAATTCCTCATGTTTAATATAAGGCAATGTTTATTCAAAACCAATTTGAACATAGGCGTAAAATAATTTCTCAAGCAAAGTTTGTCTCCTTGAAGTTCTAACTACATTTCAAAAGTAGTTTGTAGTCACTGCATTAAAAAATATATACAGTGGAGCATCGTTTATACGACGATCACTTATACGACGTTTACATTTATACGACGTTTTAGTGTGGTCCCAAATCATTCCTATTCATTTTAATGTAAAAATATATCGTTTATACGACGCACAGAATCGGTTATACGTCGGTTTTTAGATTTTGTTCACGTTTATTTAATTTTTTATTTTTTCTTGTGTATTTTAAAAAAGGGCGGGATTTGCCAACATGAATGATACAGAAAAAGGTGCCAACAAGAATGCTTGGATGACGACCGTAATTTTTACTAGATGACTGAAAAAACTTAACAATGTTATGAAGAGGGAAAAACGAAACATTTTGCTATTCATCGACCAATGTCCAGTGCACCCATCGATACTAATTATTTTGGAAAATGTAAAAGCTCTCTTTTTTCCTGCAAATTGCACAAGTGCGCTTCAGCCATTAGATTTGGCAGTGATTAGAAATCTAAAATTGCATCATAGAAAGCAGTAAGTTCAACTCGCTATTCAAAGCATTGTAGAGACTAGTAGAATATAATTAAGAGTAACATACATTCAAATTGCTCACTGCAATTTTTCTTCTTTGGTTATTTGTTTGTTTTGCTTTGTCTAATTTAGAAATTTATGTAAATCAACACGTTAAACATTAAAATTAACTGAAAATAGAGTTAGTTTCAGTTTTAGAAGTAAAAATCGATTATACGACGTTATCGTTTATACGACGTTTTTCGGTGGCCCCTTCGGCGTCGTATAAACGATGCTCCACTGTATATATATTAGTTAACTACGTTTGTAACCAAGTTGTTGCAGTTAACTTCTAAAATAATGTACATTTTTGATACTTTCAACACACAGGGATGAGACTCGTCAGAGAGTAAAAAAGAGGAAATCCAGGAATGAATATATCTATGTGAAAATACAAATCATGATTCATTAATTAATGATGGGGTAAATATGCATAAGGATGCATAATTAAATATGAAATTCGATATTACAACCGCATAAATGAATCTCGACATTGGATTTTAAACTCTAGTGAATATGAATCACTAAATAGGGTTTTGAAAACGCATAAATACAAATTGCGCTATTGGATTTTTAAATCTCGCAAATAAGAATCGCAATGTACGACATTTAAATCACGTGAATAAGAATGGCAACGCACAACTTTCAAATCTGGTAAATACAAAAATCGATGTTTGATAATAAAAAATAGCGATATTGGTCGTGTGAATAAGAATCGCAATGTGCAACTTTTAAATCAGGTAAATATGAAAATCGATGTTTGATATTAACATAGAGTGAATAAGAATAGAGATATTAGCAGATTGTGGGCTTGGGATTTCTAAAAGGCTCCTTTGTATTGTTTTTGCTTAGTCATAATAAATAAAAATGCACAAGATTAATAGAATGAGCAAATAAATATTTTCACTGCAAATCCACAGCTATTATTTTTATTTTATGATTTGGTTTGCTTTCACGCCAGCAAACGGGAAGCAGCTATGTCTGAATTACAAAAGTACGAGCTATCTGGTGGGCGGGTAAAAATACTGAAAATCCTAATATTTCTGCGCATAAAAAATAGCTAAAATATGTAAAAATGTGAAAGGGTTAGCATCTACGTTGTAGTTTGAACTTTCTGTTTATCTGTGAAAATCGGAAATAAATATAATTATTTTATTTCAACAACTGAATTTTCATAAAAAGCGGAATATTTATTTTTAAAAGGCTTGAATTTGAGAGACAAAAGAAAAGAAAGTAGAAAAATCTCATCCCTGAACACACAAAGTAGGAAGGGGGAAAAAAAGAGGCATTTGATAAATTAACCTCTAACTTCTCAATTTTGCCCTTTAGATGTTAATAAGTATTCTATTTACCTTTGTTATTTTTCTATAAGCAGCAATATTAACAGATCCTTCTTTTTTTTTCCTTTCACATTGCAATTTTAGTTTTTCTTTAAAAAAAAACTTTCATATTTGTAACAACATTCTTATTATCTTGGAATTTTTCCCCAATTAAATATTATAATGGAGATTTTGATACAAAATAATAATAAAAGATATTATTGAAATACAATTTTTTGGTTATTCTCTTATATTTTTATTTCTACTTAGCAACTTCAAAAATTTTCATTTCTTTAACTTTAATTTTAATAGATAACTATAATAATTTTGTCCTCCTTTATCATGGTTTTTTTTAAAAACTTGATTGTTATAACTTCTTTTTCACTTGAAAAAGGATAATATAAAAAATCCAGCTTTTCCGAACTCAAGTACACAGAATTGAATTTCCAATTTCTCTATAATCAAGCTTTTACTGTAGAGTAGAAATATATCAACAATTAGTAAGATATATCATCAACTATCCATAAAGATAAGAGTGAATCCATATTATACATCCAGGAAAGTAAAAGTTGAAGTTTTTTCATCAGATTGTGTCCACAGAATTTGAAGCAACCATTCCTTAACATTGTGCCCGCGACGCACAAAATACCATTCTACACTTTTTCTAAATTGACGAATCATTTTGAAATTGCTTAAAAATTATATCATCGCATTTACATAGCAATAGCTCATTTACAGAAATCATTTCCTGATGTGCTATTTTATCATTGAAGAGTCTGCCCGGTAAAAAATCTCTTTTGCACCTCGGCGATAAATTATTGTACACTCGTGAAATATGTATTATTTTCTGATATTTAATTTCAAAACAAATAAGGCAAAAAACAATAATAATAGTAATGATTTATTTTTATCAAGCAATTCTAAAAAAAAAAGCTTAGAAAATAACTTAAAAAGTTTTCCAAACCTCTAAATTGATTAGTTTATCTAAGCATATCTTATGTCTTGATGAATCCGAACAAAATCACTTCAAAAACCAAATTTTTGTTTACGAAAGGTATTCGTTTGATAGACCCTAAGAGCAAGATGTACCTGTGTCTAAAGTGTGCAATATGCTTTGACGCATGCGCCGTAAGGTAGATTTTTTGGAGTACGTACTCTAAACCACTCCGACCGCATGATTGGCGATCGAAAAGGGCTACAGGTGGCGTGGAACAGACCTATGGCAACACCAATATGGCATTCCTTCACCAATAGCGTGTGGAGAGTCATAGGCAAAGCCTGACTAAAGCAGGGGCATACGGAGCAGTTGCCCCGGGCCCCCACATCAGAGGGGCCCCCTAATCGAATAGAAAGTTCATTTTATGTTTCCTTCTTTGATGAACTTTTACAAAATATCAGTATACAGTGTAAAATCCATCACGCTTATGCTAGCTTCTTCAATCTATCGTATGAATACAATCTATATTTCGTAAATCCGCGGCTTTCTAGAGCAGAATTTAGGTAAATTTCGCAATTTTGGTGGGAAAATTTGACCAATCAAAGGACTTTATTTTTACATATCGCCAAATGGTATATATTTACCAAAATACAGATTTCTGATTGACTTAATCAAGCCATCGTAATTCGCGATCGCAACGAACTATAGGGGGTGTTACGTCACTCTCATAAGATGACGTCATTCATTTAAAGTGTAAATATTAACTAAAACGATTTTTTAGCCTGTGTATATATGAAAAGTGTGAGTGGCAACAGAAAGAATGTTGTGCTAGATGTGTTCTACGAAAATAAAATGGTTGCTTTTGTAAATATGTGTACGCAGATATTCCTTGTAAATTTAAGTTATTTCATTGCTGGATAGATCGGGTAGATTTATCGGAAGCACGCAACAGGGGGCGCTGTTGTATGAGACGCATACCTGCGATTTCTATATGAACCGTCATTCAGTTACTCTGGAGACGTTTTTAATGTTGCGTGTAACATCGTAACGTTCCTTCTTTATCGTGGCTTATTAAATTTAAAAAAGAAAATGTTTGATATCCTTTCTTATGCAACCAAAAACAAGATGGTATCTCTTTTTCTTTTAAAGAAGGAACATCCAAAACACATCTGAAAAATATTTGTAAATAAACAGAAAAAAATATGTATCTTCTTATTAGAGTTAAACCTAATGCCTGAGAAATAGTTTTATTAAATTTAATGATATAACCTGAAAAGCCTATTTAAACTTTACATTCCATAGTTTTAAGAATCATATTACTTCAAACATTAAAATAAGCAAAAAGTATACATAAACTTCATAATTTTATATAATTTAATTTTGCAAAAAAAGTTCTGTGACAACAATTTTTATCACAAAATTTTAAGTTTTAATAAAAATCATTATTTAGAAACTAAAAAACGTGAAGTAAAGAATGCTTACGATACAAAGTAAAAAAGAAAAAACCAATTCGCGATCGCAACAAACTATAGGGGGCGTTGTTGTATGANGATACAAAGTAAAAAAGAAAAAACCAATTCTAAAAATTCCTTACGTTAAAATAAAAAACTTTCATATTTTTTCTTTTTTGATTCATAATCGGACAGCAGAAAACTATCATCAAATAAGAAAAAAATTACTTAAAAGTAAAAATTTTTATTTTATGAAAATTAACAGTTACCTGCTTTATAAATCAGAAGAATTCCAAAATGATTTGTTCTTCGATTTTTGTTACCATTTTTTAGTGCTACGAAAATGTGTCTTTGGGATTTGGCAAAAATAGAACAAGATGCAATTTTATTTTTTCAGGAACGAAATATTTAGCCCATTGTCCACCGAAATCCGATAAACTACTTTGATTTTAAATAAAGTGTTTTATTTTATGATTTGTCGCAAAACTTTTGGTGTAGATTAGTGGCAGTTAAAAACCGCCAAATCTGTTGTTGCAGTGGCGTTATTACGTAAATACCGAATTTTTATTCCATACTTTCTTGAATCATATTACTTCAAACATTAGAATATGCAAGAAGTATACATTAGCACATAATGTACATTATACCATTTGAATTTTCAAAACAATTATTTTAACAACAATTTTTATCAAAAAATTATAAACTAAAAAACGTAAAATAAGGAATTCTTGGGATAAAAAAAAACGATTTTAAAAATTCCTTAAATTGAAATAAAAAAACTTCCATATTGTTTCTCTTTTTATTCTTGTAGTTCTTAATCAGACGTAAAAAAGCATTTTGTAGAGAACTATCATCAAATGAGAAAAAAAAATATTTACAAGCAAATTTTTTGTAATAAAAATCATAACACTTACCTGATTTATAATTCCGGAGAATTCCAAAATGATATTTTCCTTGTTTGAAAACTTTATTCTCAAATAATAGATACGTAGTTAATCCATTCATTACTTTTAGATAACATACTACACAGCAAAATTTTATAATTGTAAGATCTTGATATGAATCTGAATATGTAGCTAAAAACAGAATAGCTGAATTCTATTTTAAATTCTTTCAAATCTGAAAAATACTTACCAAGAAAACGATAAAAATTAATTAAGAATCAGCACAAATTGCACTATTTCAAGTATAATTTGGATAATTTTTTATTTTGTTTTCCGAATTATATGGATACAGAAATATGTACTATTCTATAACGAAGAGGAACATTCTATAACTATTACAGTTCTGTACGCTCTGAATTCACATTTACTTATTGGAATGACGAAAGCAATATTGTCTTCACTTTAATTTGTAATGAATTGAAGACAGAAGAAATGCATTTCACCTTAATAAACACATCTGTAACAGTATGCGATAGCGAAATCGGAAGTTATCAGTTGCAAGTTTGTTGATAATAGAAGTTTAGAATTATTGAGAAATTTTTCTTCAAATATTCGGCGTGTTCTGGGTCTGAAAGATACCCCAATATTCTGGAGAGTTTTTTCAAGTTCTTCGGCTTTTCTTTAGGGAAATTTTTATTTTTATTTGCTGCTAAGAAAATGGCGTCTGATTCTGCCAATGATTTTGATGGAACTAAATGAAAACGTGATAAATTAATGTCTGATGTTTACAGGCTCCCGCTAGAGGGCGTACTCGAGCGTTGCGATCGCGAATTGCAAGAGTATAAAATTTTTGCAGCTAGATAACAAAGTTAACAGTTAGAAAACTGTATTTTGCATGATCGACATATGGTTGTTGCTGTTGTAGTTCATTAACGTTACACTGGAGCTGCACAATGAGCTATTGGAGACTGTCTGGGAAACATCCCGGTATGATGGACATAGAATTGTCAGAAAATCAATAATATGGACGAAACGATATTTCGTCTGACCATTGGAGGGGGGATTTAATATATTTTTATGATTTTAGGCAATTTTCTTGCTATATATGTACAATGAGGAGAAAATTTAAATAACTCCATAAAATTCGGTTACTGGAGTAGTGAAGCAGAGGGGGGCCCCCAAATAAGTTTTTGCCCCGGGCCCCAATTAGGCTAAGTCGGGCCCTGGTCATAGGAGAAGGAAGTATGTTAGTTTCTGTCGTAATTTTCAAATAGATCAAAAACTTTTAAGTTGAGAAACTACATGAAACTGAAAACTACATTGAACATAGTTCTAAAAGAAAGCGTCATGGAAATTTAAAAAAATATTTTTAACAATTAAATATGAAAAATATTAAGAAAAGGAAATATATCATAGTACATTCCTATGCTGAAAACTAACTGAGAAGAGGAGGAGAGGGAAGGGCCAAAGGCATGGAACCGGTCATCTCCCCAGGTGGCGTATTCGAGAGTTGCGATCGCCTTTTTAAAAAAAAATCCTGATTACTTCCATAGAACTAGCATAACATACTAAATTGAAAAAAAAAAATTATTCTGGATTAAATAAAAAGATATTAAAGTCCATGTGATTATTCTCTAAGGTCACTCCTCCATCTGTCTTCAACAAGCATTGACTTTTTGTGAATATTAGTGTGAATCTTAAATAAGACTTTTGCATAGATAACTTTTTACTATAATGAATAGTAATCCAAGAATACATAATTTAAGTATAAAAAAGCTACAATTACATTTACATTCAGATTACTTGGCTGTAATAGGATTTCAGCTAAATATTCGTCATTATCTCAATAAAATTATTTTTTTACTATCAATCATTTTTTAAAAATTATTATCCATGATAGATAACCCATCATCGTTCGTTTTGAACATCGTTTCGTTAACACTCGCAATTTGAGTATCGGAGTAAAATCAAGCTACAAAAATTATTTTAATTAAAACTAATTAAAATTTTGAAAAAAAAATCGGATTTTGCGTTTTTAGATCAAATTAGAGGAAAACCACACAAAAGTCTTTCAGATTGCTGAACGGTTATAGGACTCCCACTAAATGTTCATTATCACAATGAAATTATTTTTTATAATCATAAATTTTTTGTTTTTCATCCTTGATTAAAAAAAAATCATCCTATCATGATATAATCCTATAATCTTAATCAATGATGTGAAACGCTCTTTTATTTTTGTAATTTTTAACACAAGCCAAAAATCTAAAGTAACTCACAATTTAATTGTCGGAGTAAAATCATATTTATAAAAGCCGTATAGTAATTTATTTTATGTAAAATTTACTTAAAATTAAAATAAATCCAATTTCACGATACAAGTGAAGGAAGACCGTGAGAATGATTTTCAGATTTGCTAGGTGGTAATAGGATTTCATCTAAATATTTACTGTCGCAATTAAACTTCTTTTTAATAATCAATCATATTTTTTTATCATCCTTATATATTATCTATTCTCTTATAGTGAATGCTATGAAATGCTTTTCTTATTTTTGCACATTTTAACGTAAACCAGATATTAAAGTAACTTCTAATTTAAACACAAGAGTAAAATCATAATTTGAGGAACCTTTTGAATGAAAATAATGAGACAAATGAAAACCACGAAAACATTTTAATAACAGCCTAACTGAATGATAATAGACGATAATGAGAATCTATCTCACTGATTCTTAACATTTTCCAATTTATTCTGCTTTATATGAAATTTAATGTTTCGGACAAAAATGATCTTATTATTTTAATTTAAACATTTTTTTGTAAGTACATAAATTGCTTTCCTTGTTTCAAGCATTTGAATTTCAGAAAGATATATAAAACCAATTTTCAAGTATATATTAGCTCTTTCAAAGCTTTTAAAATCTGCAAATTATAAAACTTTAAAAAAATTAGAAATTTTTTTTTTCTCCTAGAAATTTTTTGTAAAATTTGTGAATTTTAGATTTTTATGGCACAGGAACAATGGTAGAACGTAATTAATTATTATTAATCACTTGAATCAAATAAAAAAAGAATAAATTAAATACATCTGATATAAAGAAACAATAGTTTTCAACTGCTTGTCAAAATGTAAAAATGCTTTTTTTGAAAAATTAAGTGGTATAACATTATGCGTTTATGTATACTTCTTGCATATTCAAATGTTTGAAGTAATATGATTCAGAAAAGTATGAATAAAAATTCGGTACGCATCTATTAACTCCACCGCAGCTACAGATTTGGCAGTTTTTAAGTGCCGCCAATCCACACCTAAAATTTTTGCAGCAAGTCATAAAATGAAACATTTTATTTAAAATCAAAGTAATCAATTGGATTCCGGTGGAAAATGGGCCGATATAAAGTTTAACATAGATTCAAAACTGTACTCTCTTTTCGTTCACCTGATGATGTTGCCGTATTAACTCGAGTTAATACGGCAACATCATCAGGTGATTTATTAGATCTAATAAATAAGATTCCAAATGAGATAACATTTCTAAAACGTACGTTTACTAAGATAAGGCTTCATGTCATGGGAATTATCAAATTTTCTTTTTTGTGGTAAAATATTTCGCTCATGAAAAAATAAAATTGCATCTTGTTTTGTTTTTGGCAAATTTCAAAGACGAATTTTCGTAGCACTAAAAATGGCGAGAAAAAAGAATTGTTTTTTTCTTCTTCTTTTGTTTCGTAAGCATTCTTTATTTTACGTTTCTTAGTTTCTAAGTAATGATTTTTATTGAAACTTGAAATTTTTTGATAAAAATTGTTGTAATATGATTATTAAAATTGTAATATGATTCTTAAAAATATGGAATGTGAAATTTAAATAGGCCTTTCATGCCATGCAGAGCCGGATTATACCTTTCGTAGGCCCTAGGCACAGCCGTTTATGGTATTACGCCATTTTAGATTAAACGTATTACGCCATTTTAGATGTATTAATTTCAGAAATGACTAAAAGGCATAAAGCTTACAGTGATTTGTACGATAATTTCGGTTTTCTTGTTCACAAAAATTTGTCAGAATCTGAGATTAAACTAAAAGCGCAAAATTTGATGAAAATTTACTCATCCGATTTAGAGGAAAACTTTGTAGATGAATTTTTACTATTTTCAAATTTGTATGAACATAAATCTGCACAAGAAATGTTGAAGGCTCAAATTAAAGATAAACTTGTGAATACTTTTCCTAACGTTCACATTGCATTAAGAATATATTTGTCGATTCTTGGATCAAATGC